ATATATATATATATATATATATATATATATATATATATATATATATATATATATATATAAAACCTAGAGCTAAGATTAATATTATTACTAAAATTAATATCAAACTCACCAGTCTTCCGGTTGAACCGCATCGATATCCATTTTGCCAAGCTTTCGGCATCCTCTCTGATGCCTTCCTCAGGGCTTCCGAGGTCTCAGTCTCCCGAGCCCCCAGACACTACTACACTGTTCACTATTCACTGTCAGTAGTGGCAGTGCCGTGAATAGTGAACAGTGTAGTAGTGTCTGGGGGCTCGGGAGACTGAGACCTCGGAAGCCTGAGGAAGGCATCAGAGAGGATGCCAAAAGCTTGGCAAAATGGATATCGACGCGGTTCAACCCGGAAGACTGGTGAGTTTGATATTAATTTTAGTAATAATATTAATCTTAGCTCTAGGTTTTATATATATATATATATATATATATATATATATATATATTAATCTTAGCTCTAGGTTATATATATATATATATATATATATATATATATATATATATATATATATATATATAAAACCTAGAGCTAAGATTAATATTATTACTAAAATTAATATCAAACTCACCAGTCTTCCGGGTTGAACCGCATCGATATCCATTTTGCCAAGCTTTCGGCATCCTCTCTGATGCCTTCCTCAGGCTTCCGAGGTCTCAGTCTCCCGAGCCCCCAGACACTACTACACTGTTCACTATTCACGGCACTGCCACTACTGACAGTGAATAGTGAACAGTGTAGTAGTGTCTGGGGGCTCGGGAGACTGAGACCTCGGAAGCCCTGAGGAAGGCATCAGAGAGGATGCCGAAAGCTTGGCAAAATGGATATCGATGCGGTTCAACCCGGAAGACTGGTGAGTTTGATATTAATTTTAGTAATAATATTAATCTTAGCTCTAGGTTTTATTGTACTAACCGCGGAAATCTTTCCGACCATATATATATATATATATATATATATATATATATATATATATATATATATATATATATATTATATATATATATTATATATATATAAATATATATATATATATATATATATATACATATATACAGTGTAGGAAAAATTTTATGGTCGGTATGGACCTTACGTGAGATGGAGTGAGAAACAGCTGTTTAGAAAGAGAGAGGTATATTAGGTCCGCCCTTTATATCGCCAAACATGCATGCCTGGAAAGGGGAAGTTCAACGTTGCCAAACTTATTGGATTTATTTGACCTTTTGTTTTTTTTTTTTTCATTTGAACAATGTTCTAAGATAATCCAATTTGGGCGAAATTGATTTAAATGGCAGCTTACTGTTTTTTTATTGGGAATATGCCACAAGTTTACTTTACAATAAGTGTAATATAACATTTTGATTTCCACTTTGGAAATCGTTTTATATAAATAAAATGTATTAATGTTTCGTATTTTAAGTACGATTTCCGAATTAAAAATCTAAACATCAAAATAAGCTTATTTTAAAGTCACAAATTTGCCTTATTCCCAATATGACATAATAAACTGAATACAATAACACCACATTAAAAAATATTCATACACAATAATTTATTTGGCAACGTCGTCCGTCTGGTCAGAACACCGAGTAACGGGTAGTAGAGGTGGGTCGTGGTAATTTTATCGTTAAGAGCGTAGGCATAAAATTTCGGATTAATATTTTTTAAATGCATTCATTTTTTTCGAATCCTGATAAAACTAATAAATATTCTTGAAAAATTTAAACGCAGAATGAACCAATACATTATTACCGAGGGCCAAAAGTCCCTGAAAACTTCTATAATGTTTATTTTAATAAGTTATAAGGGCGAAAAAAAATTAGTGTAATTTTTAATTTCAAATATCTCATTCAAAAAACTTTTTGTTTATTCTAAGGGACTTTCGGCCCTCGGTAATAATGTAATCTTTTATTCTGCATTTAAATTTTTCAAAAATATTTGTTAGTTTTCTCAGGATTCCAAAAAAAAATGAATGAATTTAAAAATTTAAATTTTTGTAAACAAGTAACTATGATTGTTTAAAATGAATATAGGGGTTAAGTTAGGATATACATGGCGATGGTTTTTCCACCGTTGTAATGGACTCTCGATACAGGTGTACGTGTAGATGAGCCATCTCCAATTAATTGATCAAATATACACCATGGATTTAAGTCATCTTTATTGGTTTCTTTTTCTTGTACTGGTTGATTTTCAATAGTACAATCTTCTTGTTCGTTAATTATAGAAGTAACCAGCTTCTTAACTTTTTCTTTTATTTTTTTATCTTCATTTTTATCAGAAAAACCCTGCACTTTAAATGGTGAATCCATAAATGTACATAATGACAATATGCCACTCTGTTCTATCCCTTTAAATATTTTTGCTAAACCCGATATTAGTAATTGTACTACGTCGGATACTATGGATGTAAGGTTACCGTTTGCTAAAATTTTCTTGCAAGATTCTTGCAGGCCGCGTACCATAACAATCACTGAACTACCCTTCAAGTATTTTTGGTCACTCATTGTACTTGTTATTTCTTTAAACGGCCGTAAAATTTGGGAAAGCTGAGTTCAAATAATCCAGTGTTTTTTATTTAGATTTGGTCTAAGTCTAAGTCTGTATTATTTAATACCGATGTGGAACGGAAATACACGCCAGTACACCGAAAATATCAAAATACAGAGAGGAGTCCGCCAGGGTTGCGTGCTGTCCCCACTACTTTTCAATGTCTACAGTGATCGGTATTTTAAGAAGCGCTCTCAGACTCAATAGAAGGTATATCTATCAATGGAGAAGTTTTGAATAACTTACGTTTTGCAGACGATACAGTAATAATTACGGATAACAACAATGATTTACAGAACCTAATGCAACGCCTTAATGAACGCTGTCATGAGTACGGACTGAAGATAAATTTAAAGAAAACTAAATGCATGATCATGACTAAATCTGCTCAAATATCCAATTCACTATTGAAGATACTGCAATTAAGAGTGTTAATAACTATAAATACTTAGGAACATGGATAACATCAGATGTAGACCAAACCAAAGAAATTAAGACACGTATTGAAATAGCACGTACATCATTTATTAAACTTAAAAAGTTTCTTTGTTGTCGGGATATAAGGTTAGAACTACGCCTGAGAATGCTTCGATGTTACGTGTTCTCTACTCTTCTTTATGGTCTGAAAGCTTGGACACTAAAACAAGTTCATCTGAATAAGTTGGCCGCCTTTGAATTTTGGTGTTACAGAAGAATCCTACGAATATCATGGATTCAAAAAATGTCAAACATTGAAGTAACTAGAAGAATAGGAAATGAGGCAGAAATAATATTAACTATTAAAAGACGAATACTTGGGACATGTGATGAGAGGGCAAAAATACGCATTATTACAACTTATTATGCAGGGCAAAATCCGAGAAAAGCGAAATGTGGGAAGACGAAGAATATCCTGGCTTAAGAACTTAAGGGAATGGTTTGAATGCAGTAGTGCAGACCTTTTTAGAGCAGCAGTCAACAGAGTCGGCATAGCCATGATGATTTCCAACCTTCGATAGAAGATGGAACTTAAAGAAGAAGAAGTGAAACGGATTGTCTCTTCTAACTCAGTCATTCTTTTTAACCTGTAATAGGTGAAGTTCTACCTAGTTTCCACGTCTTGGATTGGCCGTTTGGGAACTTTGTTATGTTGTAATTAATACTTTAAAAGCCTTTCTGAAGATAAGGTACTTTTTTTAATGTTTTTTGCAGAATTGTCGAAAAAAAGGACTTTTTATTTTATCTATTATCAAATCAGTTTTGACATAACATTCCTGAAGTAATGAATCTAACAGTTTTTCTTGTTGGCGGTTTATATCCAGGAATCCACCCTGCAAACTTTTTAAAAGCTGGTTCTTCACCTATAGAAAACGGATGAAACGAGTCTTTGCATAAGTTTAGTAAATCAATAAGTTTAGTCAAGAAAAAGAAACTGATAAAGATGACTTAAGTCCATTGTGTATTTTTGATGAATTAATTGGACATGACTCATCTAAACATACAACTGTATCGATATACAAGAAGTCGACATGTATTTGTCTGATAATATATTACCCACAATAAATTTCGAACGGAGATTGGAACTGTCCATTACCGTGGTGGAAAAACCATCGCCATGTATATTCTAACTTAGCCACTATATTCATAAAATATTGTAGAATTGTAACAAAATATTTTCCTTGTGAACACATGTTTAAAATCTGGTTTAATTTTAAATAAAAGAAGAACACGGTTAACAAGAAAGTAGAAAAACTTGATTTTAAATGTCAATTTAGACGATTCGCGATTTAATAATAACGTGTAATGTAAATGTAAGTACGATTTAATGTAAATGTAAGTATTATTTGTATTGTTTAATTTATTTTTCAAGTTATAATAAATATATCCTTCGTTAGGTTCTTTCACTTCAATACTTATACACATAAACGATAATAGCCAATATGTTTGTGTACTCGCTAATTTGAATCAACTAGTTACAGTTTACGAAAAAAGGTTCCGATAAAAATTTAAAAAACGGGAGGACCCACCTCTAGTTTTTTAGGTATATTAGGATCGGAACCAGAGAATATGTAAAATATCTCTGATCGGAACTATTCGTCTCACTAATGGCCAATAGGTGTTAAAAATATTTGTGGAGGGGAGACCAAGGGGAAATATGATTGTTATCTTTGTCTATTCGCTGAAAATATGATTTTATATCTGCGTTAGATATCCTGTTAAATTTTACCATACCGACCATAAACTTTTACCTATACTGTATATATATATATATATATATATATATATATATATATATATATATATATTATATATATATATATATATATATATATATATATATAATATATATATATAATATATATATTTCATTTTTAATATTCATATTTATATTCATATTTATATATTCATTTATATTTATCATATTCTTTTTTCATTCCAGATTCATCAGTCCGATGGTTTACCACAAAGAATTTGCACTTATTGCTCAAGCTTTATTATAAATTTATGCTCATTTAAAAAGGAGATCGATAAATCCTTAATAAAACTTAAGGCTGCCATTCGACAGTTAGATAATCAAAATATACCGGAATCTCAATGCGAGGGAAGTAATAAATCCAAAGCGGCCCTTCGACAGTTAGATAATCTAAATATATCGGAATCGCAATGTGAGGAAAGCGATGATTGCGAGGGAAGTAATAAATCCAAAGCGGCCCTTCGACAGGTAGATAATCTAAATATATCGGAATCGCAATGTGAGGAAAGCGATGATTCCAAAGTACCGCGTAATGTATATAAAGTCGTGGAAAACCTGAAAATACAAGTTTATGTTGAGGGTGAAGAAGACAACGAAAGTAAGAATGAAATAATCCAACAAATTATTGTAGCTCCGAGTCAAGGTAATAATAAAAATGAATATATTAACAAAGATAGGATTGCATTAGAAGAAAGTCGTTTTGATGCGCCCAATGCAGATTATGGAAGTCACGATAATTTCAGGAGCCTTTTAAATAATATCAGCAATATACAGCGAAAATATTTGAGAACACGAAAACTTTTAATGTCACAAAATTTAAAACGAAGTAATACTAGTGTTCTTTTAGATCATAATTATATAAAAAGTGTTGACAGGAACAATGACAACACAAACAAAAAACGTGGAAAAGAAAAAAAGAAGGAAACGCTTTGTCCGTGTTGTAAAAAAGGACAAAAGTTTAGAATACACAAGTTTTTAAACCGACAGATATGTTTTGATAAATATTCTCATTGTGATAAATACACTTGTACATATTGTCACAGCAAACATTCATTATGGTTAAAATATGGAACCCACAATAGGGGCAAACATCGAAACAAACATTTTTATGCATAAACATTCTGGTGAAATACTTCTGTGCAAAATATGTCGGAAATTTTTTTGAATGGGGACAATAAATCAGTTTTTATTGATTCATTATTCTGAGTATGAAAACCGTTAGTTTTCTGCATACGCAGTAAGCGCCACGGTAGTAGACACACGGGTACCTAATCCCTAGACTTATTTGATGTACTGGGCTAATCCGCACGATTCTCACATGTGACTCTCAGATGTCAGTTACAGACGGTGACACATGGTGTTCAATTTATGACATATTTCTGCTGAGAAGCATGTGGGAAGCGAAACTATTTAAAATAATTGATTTTCCATACAATTTTTTTGTATTATTTATTATTTTGAAAGTAGATAGTTTGAAATACAAATTAAACATAGTTTGAAATAATTTCGTTGTTTTTGTTCCAAAAAATCAAAAGCCTTATTTTCATATTCTTTTGATTAATTAGGGGAGAGTGGGGCTCCTTCAGAGATAAAAATTTGAACTGTCATATTACTCTTAATACCTTACCAAATAAAGAAAGAAAATATTCGTAAAATACATTTTTCACCTAACTTTCACTGTATATATGCTTTTAATATTATTGCAGCTAGTTGACGTGTTAAAGGTTCGTCGGGAAGAGTTTCATCTGGAGGATTAGGTCTCTCACTGACCAAACTGGGAGCAAACATCGTCGGTGAAAATATCCCTATCAAATGGAAATATTCCTATTTTTTTTAAGACTTTATAATGCTCTGTGGTAACATGGCACGGTCATGTGCTATTCCAACACATGCGGCCACGTGATAGATTCCAAAACGTTGGCCTGGGTTAGACTTCAACCATGAATCAGTTACAGCATTATAATATGTTTTCAAAGGTTTCATCAATCCCACATCCAGTGGTTGCATCATGTGAACCTGAACAATTTATAAAGTGCTGCATCACATGACGAAATTGGAAGTGGTCATCCAACCTGACTGATCGAGCCAAACCTAAGGTCTCGTTTGGTGCTTCATCTATCATGTGCACGAGCAGGAGGTATTGTATTTCCAGCTGCATTTATAAACAAAACTGTACTAACCAGAGATCCTCTCTCACAGAGTCTGGATGAGTCACAGAGCTCTGGGTATCTTTTGATTAATTTTTCATAATTATTAAAAAAAAGCATTTACATTATGTTTGTTAAAGGAAATTGCACGTACAATACTGCATCCATCAGCATCACGGAAAAATAATCTTGGTGGCGTTTCATAAAAGCGTATAGCCAGTCCTTTCCTGCCATTTTTGGGGATTCCCAGTTTTTAGGACAGTCAATATTGTTCATTTTGGCCATCTCATGTGCCACTTTTCGAGTTTCTAGATTGTTAAGACCATAAAACATTTTTGAACACTTAATTAAATATGCCTCAAGGTCGTCTTCCTGTTTGTCAGTAAAAACCTTTCTATACTACGTTCCACTTTTAGAAAATAACATTGCGAAGATAGGGCCATGTATTTCTTATGGACGATAGCAACGCGGCGTTGCCACGACACACACAAGCACAATTTAGGGTTGTATAATTTGTATTTTCGTTTCCACAAACATGAATTAAATTAATGTTTTTTAACGTAATTGACCAAAAGTGCCCATTCGAAACAAGAGATGAAAAGTAGGGAAAATGATTTTAATTAGATAAATAGTATTTACAAAAGATAATTTTATTTTATCTTATTTTAATTAAAGTAACGACAGTTTATTTGTTTTTCGGTGAGAATACGATATGCCATGAATCATAGAAATCAGTAGAAAATATTGACCGCTTGGAATGCGTATATCTAATTACTAATTGCAACTTAAAATAATACGATGTGCGTATGTCAGCTATTTTATGTCGTCTCTGACTACATAATGATAATAAGGCTTTTATTTAATTAAAAATTAAGCAAAGGGAATATCTTGGACATCCGTGCAAAAGAGAGTGTCTGAGAGTTTTGGCAACACTGATCTCCATAAGCGTAATGTTATTTTCTTAACGTGAAACAAAGAATAGTATCGTTTTTTAATTTCATATGTTCGCCATCTGGGTTATCCCTAAACTTCTTAACGTACATACAAACAGTTTGGTATTTTAATCCAAATCTTTTAGCAGCATTTCTTATCGATTCACCATCTAGCATGGCCGCTACACATTCTTTCATAAATTCGGCATCGACATTTCCTTTTGTTTTTTCTTTCTTCCTATTTATTACCATCTTCGGACAATCTGCAACAAACAGAAACCCTTATAACTTTTAAGCACGTTATTTCAAGAAAGGTATCTCTATTTACCATTGTGTATGTCTGATAGTGCCCCATACCCTTTTGTCTGAAGGTGCCCCACTGATGTGACCAGACTAAATGTAACCTAAGAGTGCCAGAAGTAACAAATGTGAATAGTACAGGTTATGCAACAATAAATGGACTTAAAACTGGTAGTAATGTTAATTATTCCAAGTCTTATCTTCTAATAGAAAAACTCATCGTACCTTCAATCCCAAAATTTGACTTTCAACCACCAAAAACTAACTTTTCACTTTATGACATGAACCCTTTACTGCACTGTTCTACAGACTGAACATACTATAGTGTTGTCAGTGTTGCCAACCCGAGTCCTTAAATTTACCCACAATATCAATGTGTGAAGCTGCCCCCTGTCTGAAGGAGCCCCCTTCCCCCTACTTATTTTAATGTACTATAAAATAATGATACAAACTTTTGAAAGATCATTAATAATTGACGCCATTTGTGAAGTTACAATAAATAGTATATTAAATTAGAATAAATGTTTTTCTGATAGGTGTTACGAGGAAAAGAATATCAAAACAAAACAAATCCAGAGCGCTGTGATCTTTTAATACAACTAATCGACCTACAGTGGACTCAATTGTCATTTAAACTAACTAAACAAGTTTTTGCTTATTTACTTTTATGACCTATTCCAGGTTCAGGACTATATGAGCTCAATGTGCCCGTGTGTCTACAAGCGCGGCGCTTACTGTATTAAAGAGTGATATGTAAAAGTATATATATATATATATATATATATATATATATATATATATATATATAATATATATATATATATATATATATATATATGATATAAATTGTGTTACAAATATCGACCTTTTCAAATTTCCAATAGGCTTGCTATATGCATTCATACTTTACTACACCAATACAAGAAGATAAAACGGCCTTTAAACAAATATTTATCAAAATAAAACAAATTCAGATGTTTATCATTTATAATTTGCATTTTTTTTTAATTTAAATAAAATTATTATTTGAATATTTTTATTTGTCTATATGCTAATTTACCATCATCTTTGTCATTTATCCATCCTATTGTACTCCCGAAGAAGCTGCTACTAATAGGCGAAGCAATAAAGCAATAAAAAGCCCAAAACCTACCAAATTTTTGCAGTTAGATGGATCTTTATGAAACTTTTTGCATTCTATGAATGTAGAGTGTCAGAAAATTTTGTGAATAAAAATAATTATGTGGAAATGAAAATTGTATTATTAAATAAGAAAAATAGATTTTCCAAAGTGCATTTTGACGTGATGAAAAATGATAAATTTGTAATAGGGAAATGAGTTTAGTATTAATATTCGGGGGTTTTGGGACCACTGAACACGAATATCATTACGGCGATAGTCTCCGAGGTACCTGGCGCATCCAGAACTCCCGTCTCCTGGAGTTTTGTGAATTACATTGAAATAGATTCGTCTCGAAATAACAATCATTTCGTATTATTGCGCCAACTCTGAATTTTGATTAATAACTGCGTAAGTTGATATAAAAGCAAATGGATATGTACCTGAGTGTGAGAAAAGAGATTTTCTTAATCGTTAGTTCATAAATATTTCTGCAGGTATTACAGCAAGGTACCATTGTCAAAGATCATAGTTCTTCTAATCGGCTTGGCTCACGCTGGTTTAAACTGATTTCAATAGCGGCTAAACTAATAGTATTTATGACTGACAGTTTTATGGACTTCAAAATGTGATCACCGATTAATAAGTTTGCACAAAACAGAAAAATACTACTCCAATGCATTTTGCAGGGTAAAATTGAAGGAAAAGGAGCCCCAGGACGAAGAATATCCTGGCTTGCTATCCTGAGAGCATGGTATAGAAAGACCTCAACACAGGTATTTCGTATAGCAACCAACAAAATCATCATAGCCAGAATTATCGCCAACGTTCGGAACGGACAGGCACCCGAAGAAGAAGAAAAATACGTCCAAAAGGTTTTGGATATACTCTATCGGTAAAGAAAGTGACCTTTTTTATTACATTTAAAGCGACCTAGGCAAGAATTCATAAATAATGAGTTCAGGATTTCTTTTAAGACGTTGGTTGGCTGGTACTCGTTAGTAGATAAGTAAGGCTGCCTTGTACGGAGCATGCCGAAAAAGCATTACGTCATATCTTCGTTTCTATTGGTCCGACGAGTACTCGTTGGAATGGGGAATGGACGGGAAATGCATGTTGAGCCGTTACAGGCTTAGTGTCCTTTTGGCATTGTCTCGTGTGTTTGTTTTTTGTGTCAACGTATTTCCCGGTATCGATGGAAAGGGGAGATTGTAACGAATATGTTAAGACAAAAAGTAAACGCAAAGAGAATTCCAAAAACGGCACTATATCATCTCTGTTGTTATTAGCCAGATTACTGCATGTAAAACGTTCAATGAAAGAGGAGGGGGTATCGAATACGTTAACCCAAAAGACAAAGACAGTATCAAAACGGCACTATACCGTGTCTATTGGACCGATCTTTGCGAATAAGGGGTCTTTGGAAAGAGTCGAATATGTTATCACAAAAAAAACACATTGGCAAAATGGCACTATATCGCAACTTCGTTGCTATTGATTTTAGCATAATAGACATTAAAGGAAATTAGCAGTGAGGCCAACAGACAAAAAACATGACAACATTGCCAAAACGGTACTATATCATATATTGGAACTATTTGGAAGGAGATTTCGTCT